CCCTCACCGCCTGGGGTATACAGAGTCCGCTTTTCTTTAGGAAAGATATCGCAGAGGTTGATCCCGATGAAATGGATTGATGAGGAACTGGTAGCTTCTCGTGAGGGAGGGATTACGGCGTTCGGGGGAAACTAGGATCTTGAATTACTGCCATTCGCTGATACGCAGTCCAAGAAGTCAGGGCTAGAAATTGAAGCCATGAGGCAACATCAGAGAAAAACACATTTCACTGGTATGCATTATGAAACTGGTTTGATATTTCACCCAGATTATCTGGATGGAAACGTGGACCTAAAATCGAATCGGAATGTGGCTGAAAAACGGCTGTATGGTATTGAACGAAGGTTGGAAAAGGATCCTGAGTTGGCTGCAACGTATCAAGACCAGATATCCGAGCTCCTGGAGACTGGGAGAGCAGAGTTGGTTGGGAAAGAAGATACTAAGAATCCCGTGTGGTATTTGCCCCACCACCCAGTGGTCAAAGCGGACAGGGTCACTACAAAGTGCAGGATAGTGTTTGATGGGTCAGCAAAAGGGCCAAGTGGGATATCACTTAATAGTGTGCTGTTAACAGGGCCTGCTCTTCAACCGGACATATTGGCTGTTTTACTCAGGTTTAGAAGACATGCTGTTACTATAATAGCCGACATAGAAAAAATGTTTCATCAGGTTAAGATCAATGATATTGACAGGGATTTGCAACGTTTTCTGTGGCGTGACATGGATAAGCACAGACTGCCTGATGTCTACAGATTAACTGGAGTAACGTTCGGATTGAAACCGTCTCCATTCAGTAGCATGCAGACAGTCCATGATCACGTAAAATCCCAAGAGAAAGAGTTTCCGGACGCGTCGAATGAACTCCTGGAAAATATGTATGTTGATGATGTCATCTCTGGAGCTAGTAACGTTACAAGTGCCAAGCAACTGGCGTTGGATATGAAGTCTATGATGAAGTCGGGAGGATTCCCGCTACGAAAGTTTGCATCTAACAAGCGTGGTGCTCCCGATCTTTCAGAGAGGGAGGATTTGGCTGCATGTCACGAGAAAACGTTTGTCGAAGAAGAATACGCAATAAAAATCTTAGGGGTAAGGTACATACCCTATGAAGACGTTTTGATATTCCCGTTCTATGAGAAAATGGAAAATGTGAAACATGAAACTAGACGAACAGTGTTACAGCAGCTGCACAGGGTGTACGATCCCATGGGAGTACTTTCGCCATTTGTATTGAAGGCAAAACAGATATTTCAGAAGGCCTGGTTAACAACAGGAAGTTGGGACGGCGCTCTACCAGAAGATTTAGCAGCGGTTTGGTTAGCTTGGAAGGCAGATGTGGAGAAACTGAGTAAAATAAAGCTCCGAAGACATTTGGTACCAGAAAACTTCAAGGCTCCAAAGTTCTCGCTGCATGCTTTTGGTGATGCGTGCGAAGCAACGTATGGAGCAGTGGTCTACCTGCTTGTTACGGACCCCGAAGTCAAAGAGAACCACGTCACGATATTATGCTCAAAGACTAGG